GTTAATGTACATAACTTGGGGCAGCCCTGGTCTGTCTCCTTTGTCCCCACAGTCCAGGACTGGAATGGTCCCTGACATTGAGTAGGTACTTGGTAAATGTGTCCTAAATTAAATTCACTTCTGAAAGCCAGCTTCTGGGAAAAGCCAGTTTTCTATGTGTAAATTAAACTTCAATAAAAAGTAAAAGTAAGTGCAAGCAGTTATTACAATAATAGTAACTAATTTGCAAAGAAAGAACTGAGTATAAATTGCTTTAGAAAGACCTGATTGGATACACCCAGTCAGACAGCTAAGCCCATGCTTGTCTGAGCCCTGCTACTGTCGAGTGCCTCAGTGTTTAAAATCTCATTTTCACAGCCGTTCACTCAAGTACTTTCTTAAAACAGGGAGGTCAGTCTTTAGCGCTGGTTGTCCTCAGGGCGATGCTTGTTTCCTGCTTTGACTGCCCAGAGTCCCCTGGTCCCTCGAGCGTGAAGCCATTCACAGGAGGATTTTCTTCTCGGGCTCTGCCTGCAGTTTGAGCCGCTGCCGCCGGGTGAGCTAGGATGACTTGGTTCCCAAGCAGACTCCTCTCAGGTTGCAAAATAATGAAGGTAGAACCCTGTGTCAGTCTGCTAGGCAAAGAGACTTAAAGGTGGAACGACGCAGCAGAGGACAGATGCCCCACCCTCGCCCCCGGCGTCGGCCTTGTTACGGCCTCCTGGCCCCCCTGTCCGCGTCTCGGCCCTCGGTCGGCCCCACGCGGACTGCATGTCGGGTGCACGTTCGCTTCGATGCAGGCGTCGACTGGGCCCCGGGGCCTCTTGGAGGTGGTGTGAGGCCAGCAGGTGTAACCGGCGGGGGTCCCCCGCACCCAGTGTCTTCAGCTCCCGGAGCAGAGACGGGACCGAGCCAGAGTGCAGATCAGTGTGACCGGCCGGCTCTCTGGCTGCCCAGGGAGTCCCGGGCAACCCTCCGCACTTTTCCCCAAACATCAGGTGATTCCTTCACACTCGCAGTGGGGGAGTTTTACAAAATGGGGCTCGCCTGTAGCCTACTTGAGTGTGTATAAAATGTTGGTATTTAACTTTGCGATACCCTCAGACTTACTAAGGAGATGAAATTTTTTTTATTGTGCTGAAATGCATGTAACCTGTACTTACCATCTCGGCCATTTCTAAGTGCACAGCTCCGTGCCGTTAAGGACATTCACGCAGATGTGCGGTCGTCACCACCGTCGGCTCCAGAACTTTTTCTTCTTCCCAGACTGAAACTCCATCCCATTAAAATTTAACTTCTCTCTCCCCCCAGCTCTTGGTAATCCCTGTTTTATTTTCTGTCTGTTCAGATTTGACTCCTCTAAGACTCTCGCATAATTGGGATCATATAATAGTTGTCCTTTTGTGACTGGCTTCTTTCACTTAGCATGGTGTCCTCAAGGTTCATCCGTGTCGTGGCAGATGTCGCAGTTCCCTTCCTTTTTAACACTGAATAGTATTCCACATTTTGTTAACCCGTTCATCTCCCGCAGAAAACCAGGGTGAGGCTGGGGCCCCACTGAGGTCAGATACTTGAGCTCAGAAGGGCTCAGGGCGAGGACAGTGCGGTGGAGCTCAGCCAGCGCGGCCAGGCGAGGGGCCCCCAGCCCGCGCACAAATCTAGGGTGGTCTTAATCCCACCACTCACGTGCGGACCTTGACTTAGTGCGCAGGCCCCGGGTGAGGCCAGGAGGGTGAAGTGGGGTGGAGCCCCCGCTGCCGGAGCCCGAGGAGCTGAGGCCAGAGAGCAGGAGGGAGGGAAGGTGGGCGTGGGGGCGCGGGCGTCGCTCCCTGGGTGCCGTTTGTCTCCTTTCCTCCCCACCTTTCACTCAGCCTCCCTCTGCAGGTGTGAGGAGCTGCCTGTCTCAGGTGCACGAGTTACCACAGCACAGCAAGGACAAGATCCTTGGCCATGGGGTCTAGAGTCTAGAGCAGAAGAGACACTTCACGCGTCTATGCTCAGTGGAACCAGCGCCCCGTGGGACGCCCGTGTGGGACGCTGTGGGTGCACCCAGTGCACGTGACCAGACTGGGACTTTGGAGATGGTTTCCCAGAGGTGGTGCCTAAGCTGAGGCCTCAAAGACACGAGAAGTGTCTCCTGCAGGCCAACAGCCACGCGTGGGCTCCGGCCACCTCCTTTGCCCTCTGGCCACCTTCATGTCCCCTTCGGCCACCTCCATGACGCCTCCAGTCACCTCCATGTCCCCACCACCTCCTGGGTGGAGGCCGGCCAGGCCTGCCTTCAGGAATTACCACTCCTCTCCTCAGAGCCTGTAGCCTTCCTGCCACTTCTGACACCGTCACCTCTTGCTGTGACCACTTTTGCCTGCTTTCCCGTACTCCCCCCCCGCCCGCCGCTGAATGTGGGTGCTCGGGTGTGACTGCACACCTGGCTCTCCGCCACCTGTCTCTCCGCCACCTGTCTCTTTTCCCACAGTCACGTCACCACTCTCGTGTCCTGCCCTGGCCTCCCCGCCCCAGCACCGCGATTTGGCTCCGACAGACCTGCCCCCCTCCCTCATCTCCGCCCCCCACCCCCTGGGGCTCCCTCTGCCTGGCTCCAGCCCGGTCCCTTCCTCCCGCAGGACAGTGGTTTGGGTCTCAGCCACCCTTGCCTGTGAGTCGGTCCTGCTTTCCCCGCCGCACCCCTAGTCCCCCCCGTCCCCCGGCCTCCACGCTGTCCCTAACCACCAGGAACGTCTTCCTCCCACCCCAAGCCAGGCTGTCTCCTCCCCAGCCCAGAGCTCTGAGGGTCCCTGCTCCGGCCAGGGCTCTAATGACAGACGCCCCATTGGCTGCGTTGCGCAGCCCTGCTCCTGGGACAGGCGTTGGGGCCTCCGTGCGGCTTCGGCCGCTTCCGCCGTCTCGTTGCCCTCTGTCGGCTCTCACCGCCTTTGCCCACGATAAAATGCCCCGCAGGGCCCCAGGCTCCTGCCGGCTCACCTGGGCCTCCGGCTCAATGCCCTGTCCCCCAAGTTCCCACTCCAGACCCTCAGCAGGGCTCGTTTCAAACGTTTCTGCTTGGAAGAAGCCTCTTCTGTGTGTTTTTTCTGTCGGAAGAGACCTCTCCTCCCTGACAAGCACCACCTCCCTATTGGAGCTCACGGCCGCTGCCTGTATTTTAGTTACTTCTGCGCGTCTCTGTATATTGGTGTGTCTCTGTGTCCCCAGCGTGGCCAAGGGCAGGCCCTGAGGTCAGGGTTCAGGGTGTTCCTCCTTTGTCTGCACGGCCCGACACAGGAACAAGCTGCCTGATAGACACATGTTGAATAAAAGCGTGGATGTGGTTTCAGGAAGGCCCTGTCAACCACAAAAATTAGTCCTTTCTGATTTCACCCTTAGAAACTACCTGGAACAGTTGCGTAAAATCAGAGCAAGACAAAGATAGGACCCTAAGTTCTGGCGTCATCAACCTTCACAAGTGATTCTGAGTCTGGTCCCTTATCTTCATCCTGGGGACGATTCTGGCCAGGCAGTACCTTTGTTAAAAGTGTTCTCCAGATTGTGCAAAGTGAAGTAAGCTGTGTTACGTAGCCTTAAAGGGGAGTTCAGGCTCAACAGGGAGTTCAGTCGCACCACAGACCCTCTCGAGCTGAATGTTCATGTCCTCACACCTCCGGAAGGTCCTGTTCCGGTTCCTCATGTCCGGTTCAGGGAGCAGCGCATCGTGGTGGCGGCAGTGTGTCCCCACCGCCCCCGCCGGGGTGTGCGATGCTTGCAGGTCTCCGCACGACCTGTTCCGCAGTGAGGAGGGAAGCCCGGCCTCATGGAGCTTCTGGATTTAGCTTTGGAAAAGTAGAAAGTTGTTGTTCTTTCAAAGGCTTCCCTTCACTTTTGCAAACTCTAATAGGTGTGGGGGAGCAGCCAGCTCTTTGTTCCGGGAAAGATGGTGGCAGAGACTCAAACAGAAGCAAGAGGCATTTAGGTTAGTGAGGGGGGAAATCCAGCTGGTGGGATGTAGGAATGTGAAAAATTACCTCATAATTAGACAAGTGTGTTTACATTGCTGAGACACGGGAATTTATGAGCTTGGAGTGAGGAGAAAGGCTTCTTTAGGAGCTAAGAGAAAAAGAGTGTTTAAAATGTTTGACACCAGGGAGTTAGCACATCTTTAAGGGTGAAACCCGCCTAGATCTGAGGACACAGAGCACTTACAGGCAGCCCTCATCTGTCACCCACCTCGCTGTACAATCAAGGAATGGAGGCCAGCGTGGGGACGTGATGTGCCCGAGGGTATGAGGCAGCTGGAGGGGATCTGGGGCTTTTGACCCGGCCCTGGAGTGCGGACGCGGAGGGTGGGGGAGGCCGCATCCGCTGCTGGGAGGGGCTCAAGGTGCTCAGGGACAGCGTTAACATCAACGCAGGCTGGGCTCCTCTGCTGACTGGGTTGTAAACACACACACTCGCGCACACCACACACGCATGCACGTGGGCACGCCCTCCCAGGTCAGCCCCTCCGTCCCAGGGTCTTGGTTATGAAAACAGACCCCGTCATACAGGCAGAGAGACACAATCACCCCTCAGATTTGGACACTGCTCTTTTCTAAGTTTCTCTTCGCTGCTTTGTAGTGTCTTTAAAAAGGACAAGACACAAAGGGAAGAATTGTCACCTGGCCTGACACACAGCTGACCAAGAAATAGATGAGAAACACAATAAGGAAAATAACCCAGCAGGTGAAATAAAAATAAAACAGGAGCACGTTGTTGCACGCATTGATATGTTTTTTAATAATGGGGACAGTCATTCATTTGACATTTGCTGAGCCTCCTCTGCGTGCCGCCGTCCTGGGCGCTGAGGACCTGCCGAGGGCACACAGAGGCTCACGTTCCGCGTAAGGCAGCGTTTGCCACCGTGCAAAACCACTCTTCCTACCCACCACCCACACCCCAGGTTTGGGTGGGTGGACATTTGACTCCACTGGAAAATCGATAATATCTCTACATGGACCTGATTTTAATGACGGTTGCTTTTTGGTTTCTAGGGAGAAGAAAATGGCTTTGCAGACAGTACTGGAGACCCCCTTGCAGGTGAGTGACGCGCAGATGATGGCTTCCGTGACAGCTGAGTGGCTGTGTCAAGACAACCTGAGACATGTTTATCATTACCTTTAAATGCCTCTGTTACAGAGCAGAGACACCTCCCAGCCGCATGCCTTCGGAGAGCGTTTCCTCTGCACGAGCCCTGCGTTGCTCACGGGCTCAGCAGGTTCTCAGCTGTACGGGCTTAGGGCTGGGCAGCTGTCAGAACTGGGCGGGCTCCCCCCGTCCCCCCACCACCCCAGGCTCTGGGAGCCGCAGTGCCGGCAGAGAACTTGGCAAGTGACTTGGGCAGATGGGAGACAGCAGCGGGGCACACACAGGGCCAGCTCGGCCATGCTATGCGCCCTCTGTATGTCCCGGGCACTTGGGGAGCCCAGGCGGCCCCTCTGTTCACCAACCCATGTGCCACCCCCAGTCCCTCTCCTGCTGTTAGTGTGTTTAACCAAAGAAACGTTAAAGTCTGTTCTCCGCTTTTTTTAAGAGAAACTACGGCAATGTTTCAATTTCTTACTAATCTTGGGGAAAAATCGGGAGTGAACATTAAAATAAGCTACTGAGGTCTGGCTGGTGTGGCTCAGTGGGCTGAGTGCCGGCCTGTGAACCAAAGGTCACTGGTTCAATTCCCTGTCAGGGCACAGGCCTGGGTTGCAGGCTGGGTCTCCAGCTGGGGGCATGTGAGAGGCAACCAGTTGGTTTTTCTCTCACACATCCATGTTTCTCTCCCTCTCCTTCTCCCTCTTAATAAAGACCTAGTGTGTGCCAGGCCTTGTGGTCAGAGAACAGTGTGGGAGACAGAGATTATGATTCTGGTTCCAGCCCAGCCACTGCCTGGCTGTGATCAGAGAAATCAGGGAGAAGTCAGGCCGAATGGACCTACAGCGGAGCCCTCGCAGCAGGTCTTTTGGGACAGGCTCAGTGACCAGGGCGCCATCCCGGCACCGCACCGGGACTTGCCTTCCTTGGGCCCTGGCTTCCGCAAGCCCTGCAGTGGCCACAGGCTCCTGAGGGGAGCGCTGGCGCATGGCCTGGAGGCGGGGTAGCGTCCTGGTGCAGTTTTATTTTCTTCCCGCTGTCCTATGCTACGTTTCATGTACTTGTCACTGTGAACCTACTTTTGCCCCACCCTGCGTTTGCAAACATTCTAACATGAACGGTATCAGAAAAACCTGCTGCCTACCCTTTAAGGGCTTCCAGCCCTGGCCCGGCCCGAGCTGACTCAGGGCTGATGCACCAGGCTGCCCTGCTGGCCAGCAAGCCACCTGCGCAGCACACTCTGTGTGCTTCAGTGTCTCAGGGCAAAGGTCAAGCGGAGTCTTCAGCTGGAACAAGCCCCTGTCCAGCTCCCCCTGAAAAGTGGCCCCTAAGCTGCCAGGCAGCCTGTCCCAGAAGCTCCTGTCCCCAGTCAGGCCCTTGGCCTTAATTCCAGCTGCCTGCTATTGTTTCTTGTAATTTGAAAACCTTAGTTTATGTGCGATCCAGTTTATAGCAGGTTAAGGTGAGCGGGTGGGAGGAGGCAGGGCACTAGGCAGACAGAGGGCTCGGGCGGAAGAAACGGCAGCTGAGCATTGGGACCCAGGAAGAAGAAGAAAGCAGCTCAGAACCACCACCGCTCAGGGTCCCTCTGTGGGACCGCAGGGGAGAGGGCCCCATGCGCGGGGGCTGGGCGCCTCTGCTACACCCTGGTCAAGGAGACATTCGACATTACAGTGTTTTCATGCAGAGTTTCAAAATGAAAACGTTGGACATTAAAGGGGTAAGGCTCAGTTATAAGAAAAACAACACCCAAGCTGTAAAATAGTAAACTGCTTCCCCTGCCCCCTTCTGGTGGTGGATTCCACATGGACCACGACGCCTTCTGCACCTGCTCTCAAGCGTGGCCAGGTTTTCAGGGCTGACTTTCTGATCACCCTGTGGAACCCAGCACTTGCCTAATTGAAACCTAATGTCCCCACAGATAGGAATGTAAAATAGGATTTTCATTTATTTCAAATTAGGTCCCTAAAATGACACTGTTAATGTATGTCTCATATACTTCCACAGTTCAAATTCATATGAAATTCTATACCTGGACTCTTTCTTATGAAGGAGTTTCTTTTTTCTTTTTTTGGTCTATTTCTTTCTTTTCTTTTTTTTTTAAATATGCCTTCCACGTTCCAATTTCGTTTGATGAGAAAATTGAGACTCGGCTTGATTTGGCAGCCTGGAGCCGTCCAATTTGTCAGGCTGCCCAGAGCGGCTGCCAACTCAGCATCTCCTTAAAAGGGCGTTTTAGGGGGAGAAAATGAAATCATATTGTTTTTCCTGTTGGTTGAGATCAAACGCCCACCAAAAGCCCTTGAGTCAGTTTCTTAGTAGATGAAAATAATTCTTCATCATTTTCCATCTCCTAGCATTTAACTAACTGCCTCTTCTGAATAATGTGGTGTGTATGCACATCCAAAGATTTACCAAAGCCATAAACTGGCATTTTAAATTTATTTCCAACCACGTTAGACACCACACAGAAAGAAACATGAATTTACACCCTAAAGAAATGTTAACTGTAAAAGTATTGACTCTACTGTGACACACTGAGATTTTGCACGTTCCAGATCTGATAATTTATAGACACCTGGAGTGGAGTTAATTTCAAGACCACAATATTTTGCTTTTGGCAAATTTACCAATATAAAATGTTTACTCGAGACCTAGTTATCCTGGGAACATTCTTATAAGCGATCCAAGAGCTACCAGTGGTACTGGGCCTGTTGGAGGAAAACACCGAGTGGTAACAGCTCTTGAAAAACCCACCGTACAAGATGGAACACCCCCCCAACCCCCGCAGGGAGACCCATTAAGTCAGCCTCTGATCCACTGCCAGCATCCCGACCAGAGCTATTCTCTTGGCTCAACTAATCACAACCTTTGTGAATCCTGAATCTTGTTCCAGTTCACAATTAACTGTTAATTGACTGGTAATTTATTGCCTACGAGCCCCAACTTAGTAGTGAGATGCCACACCATTGGACGTGAACTGTGCCTACCAGTTGTTCTGGTGACTTAGACGCGCCTTGTCGAAAAGCCTGCTTGCTTCCTGCACTCTCCTCCGAAGTACGGCGTGAAAGGCGTGTGAGAGAAGGTGGGGAGAGGAGCAGACAGGGCGCCTCTCAAAGAGAAGCCGCTGGCCTGCCCCAATCCGACGTCCGCAGGCCCTCTAAGAGCTTCCTCCATGTGCGTGACCCTGCGCCGGGTGGATGGCTTTAAGGAGATGGTTTTCAGTTCTGGCACCACATCAGAATTCTCAGGGGAACTTGAACAACTTTCCGTGTCGTGCCTGCCCCCGAGCCCGGTGAAACGAGGGTCTCAGGACATCAGGGTTTTGTCCCTCTCTGAGTGGTGGGGGCAGAGTCTGTCTTGCAGCCAAGGTTGAGAACCACTGCTTTTATTTTTTTTAACTTTTGTTTTCTTATTTCTGTCCCCTCTGTTTTTTCTTGTTGACACTATTACGGATGGCCCCCATTTCCTTCCCTTGCCCCCCTCTACCCAGCACCCCGCACCCCCAGCCTTCATGCCATTAGTGTCTGTGTCCATGGGCTTTGCATATATGCAGGTATATTATTTGGCTGATCTCTTCCAGTCCCCTGCCCTGAGATCTGTCAGTCTGTTCCATGTGCCCATGTCTTTGGTTTTATTTTGTTTGTCAATTTATTTTATTCATTAGCTTCCACATATGACTGAGATCCTATAGTACTTGTCTTTCTCTGACTGGCTTATCTCTGCTATTAAAAAGGCTGTTGGTCTTGATCCCTCACCTATGGCTACAAATTCTTGGTCGCTTGCTCACCTTGGGCTAAGGTGACGCTTCAATGAATGACCTCATTTGATCCTCTCGACCACTGGATGAAGTAGGCGTCCCTGTCTCCGCTCGGAGTGAGGACGTGGCCTTAGCAAGCTCCGCTGCCTGTCCGCACCGCACGCCTGCCTGCGTGGCACTAGCAGGCGCTGGCAGTCGGCCAGCCTCCAGCACTCTTGCTGTCGGTCTTGGTGCTCCACAGCCTCGCCTTGTCCGTAGCAGCCGGCAGGCTTTCTTCTGCTTTGTTCACTCAGCCTTGCAAAAGGTCCAGTGGGCTTGACAATTTCCAGATAGTTCTTCAGAGGCTGTCCAGAGGTTTCTACTTTGACTGTTTCTCTGTGTCACCCTCTTCATTCATTTTATGTACTCAAAAAATATCATTGAGTGCCTACAGTGTGCTTGGGACGAAGCAGTGACATCAGACATTAAAGTCCCTTTCCTCTTGGAGCTTATATGCTAGTTGGGACTGACAGACAATAAACACAAACAGTTAAGTAATCACACACGGTGGTGGGTGCCTTGCGCGCAATAAGTGAGGGTGATGGGTTTCACCTGGCAGGGCAGCCTGCTGCTTCAGGCACGCGCGGACCTAGATGGTACAGCGGAGCCAGCCACGTTGGGGGCTGCGGGAGGAGGGCCCCGGGAGGCCAGCTGGTGCCGAGTCCTGGGCTGAGCTGAGCGCAGCAGGGGCCAGCGTGGGCTCTGCAGAGCCGCAGAGGAGACGCAGGGCTGGGGCGTGCGAGCCGAGGCCAGGCTCCTGGGGTCCCTCCTCTTCCCTCTCCAAAAGGAAATGCGAAATCTAACATCTTCACCTGGCATTGCACGAGAGTTGGCAAAAATGCTTTCCCGTCGTTATCTGACTTAATTCATGAAATGGAGGAATCTTATCATCAGTATTACAGATGAGGAGCCCGAAGTCGTGGATGGTAATGCAGTGACAGCCAAGCTCCTAGAGGCTGGGGAACCCGGGCTCGGTGAGCCCCGTGTGACACGGGGTCAGAGCGGGCGGCGCGGGGTCGTGCACAGGGAGGACACAGTGCAGGGCTGGTCGTCCCCCGGGCGTGTGGTAACAGACACTTACTGTGACAACGGGAAACCTCTGAGAAGCCTGGCCCTTCCTCCCCGAACGGCCTCCCTCAGGGTGAGCGGGTGCTCGGACGGGACCTGCAGAGAGCGCGCCCTCAGGGCGCCGGCCTCTGAAATCGGAAGTCATCAGGAATTCCCGGGCTGTTGCTTTGCATCAGGGGAGACTACACAAGTCAAGTGTCAAAATGTGGCAAGCGAGGACCCCAATTATTAGAGAACCGAATAAATAATTAATTTCCTTTTTTTCATTGGCCCCTCCCTTCCTTCCCAGATCGAGAATTGGTCCATCTTTCTGCGTCTTAAGACCAAGCCTGCACTCTTTCCACCAGTGTCGGTCTGCTGCCAGCAGCCACCAGCAACATTCTTTCCTTTCCTAATGACTCTCTATTCAGGGCCGACAACGCACCCGTGACAGTAACTCGTCTCCTGAGGAGACAGCTCACGTCTCATTCTTCCAGGCAGCAAACAGTTTTTGAATTGCCGCTGCACGGCAACCCTGTGCGTCTCATTGAGAGGCATCGAATGATAACCCACTTCTCCCTGCTGATGAAAACCTCCTTGGTCCCAAGTCTCTCCCCAGGCGGCTCCTCCTCAGGCATCGCCCGCTGCCCCCGCATGCCCTGCGACGCGACAGGTGTTCACGGCGGGCGGACACAGGCACGGGACAGGAAACAAACGTGTTTTCCTGCTCAAGTCCCCAGAGAGCTAATTACAGTTTATGACTCAAAAGGCAGCTTTCGGTTCACTAATGTTGGCAGTTTGTGTAGATTCCAATTGAGCAAGGTGTCATTTGTGTTGTTGAAAATACAAAAAGAAAGAAAACACCAGCAGGCTTCGGCACACCATTTGATAATTTTGTCAATGTCACTGTTCAAAGAAATGCAACCTCTTCATACCCTCGAAGGGTTAAAGGCGCTTCAGAGAGGACTTCCTGGCGTTTTTCTTCTTCTTGGGTCTAAAGGAGAAGATGCTGCCAACCCTGCATCTTACACAGGTGCTGCTGGAGAGCTCTTCGGGCACCAGCGCACGTAATTCTGGCGCCGAGGTTAGAGTCCACTTTATCTTCCTGTGACGTGTAAAGCTATTTTTAAAGTATCCAAATAAACACAGTGATTATAGAAAATTAAGAAATATCCATTTTTGTTAGACATACTTCCAGATTTTTCTCTGTGCCTATGAAGATGTACATAGTATACGTCCCAGATATTAATGACTGTATTATTTGTTTTTACAAAAACTCTGCTTTCCTACTTCCTGAATATTGTTAATTTGATCCTATCTTTAAATAAGAACAAAGGAAATTCAGGATTGCCCTAATATACCCCTCTTTTAGCGAGAAGCTACCTTCACCCTTTGAAAGGTGGGGTTTTTTTTAGGTGAATTAGCTCTGTCTCACCCTGCAGCTGAAGTCTTACTTTTTGACAGGCCATCCGTGCAGCTGAGGAATCACTCTCGGTGTATTACCCAGAAACGTACCTGAATTTTAAACAGATGTGGAATGCACCATAGGTGTTTAGGTGGCATAGGGGACAGGAAGCCTACGGAACGTCTCCTGCGCAGCAGAGCTGGGGGTGTGGACACAACAGTGGGGTCCCAGCGAGGCCTTCGGCGGGAGGAGGAAGACTTCCTGGAGGAGGGGGATCTGAGGTGGGCTTTGCAGGATGGACAAAGGTGACTGGTGGAAGGGAAGTTCAACAGAGGAAGTTCAGGGAGAGGGAGAGAAGAGAGGAAACACTAGAAGAGGCATGGAGGTAGAACAATATAAGGTGTAATTTTCCACCTGTGAAACGGACAGAGATTTTTAGAACCTAGTGCTGGGTGCTGAGGAAGGTGCCGCGGGAGACGCGCCTCCCCCGCCCCCTCCCGCTCCGGCTGGAGTGCGCAGCGGGCCCGCGTCCGTCTCCGCAGGCAGCTGGGGCCTGCGGGTCCCCTGTCCTGGGAGATGCTTAAAGGTTTGTGTGCGGGGGTCGGCATCGAATTATTACTCAGTCATGAAATCGGGAAAACCCAAAGCGTCCATCATTGTATATAATTTCTACAGTTTCCATCCTGAACTTATATTAGTTTCTCTTTTAATATAATTGAGCTTTTTTTAAAAAAGGAAATGCTGTGTGTGTGCTGGCGGCGAGCCGCCCGGCTTGTCTGGAGCGCGGGCGGTGCCGGAGGACGTCCTGGGACTCCCGGGCGGAGTGGCCGCAGCTGCCCGTGGAGTCCACGGCCGCGGCGACAGGCCGGGGAGAGTGAACCTGCGGCGTACGTGGCCGAGGTGCTTCGGGTGCACAGGGGGACATTGAGTGCGATTTGAGGTCCCTTGCATGGGGCCGGGGGGCACCTGGACGCCCAGGGGGCTTTCCGGCGGTCAGTGCTGGAGCAGGGACAGCGCCCAGCCGTCCGCCGAGCCCGCGGTCCGTGGGAAGCGCTCGCTCTGCACCGCGCGGCGGGCTGGGTCGTGCACATGCGCAGAGCGAGAAGGGCCCGAGGGTCCAGCGAGAGGGCCTGGTCGCGCTGCTGGGGGTGGGGGAGCTGACCCACGAGAAGCCGTGGGGGCGGGGACCTCCGGGCCAAGGACAGAGCCAGAACGCCCCCGGCTTCCTCCCGAGGACTGGGCGGTGAGACAGGCGGGGAGGTCTCCGGGCCGCGGTGACCCGGGCAGGGACGCGCCGCAGCGCGGCGGGCCGTGCCTGGGGGTGTGGCTTGGGTGGCAGAAGGAACCTTCAGGGAGGGCGCCGCCCGCGATACAAGCAGCAGCGTCCAGGGGACCACAGAGTCCTGGGCGCAGTTCCAGTGGCCGCCACCTCCAGGGGAGCTGGAGTGACAGGGACGTGGGTGGCAGCATGTCCAGTGATCTTGAAGGTCCGGTGGTGACCCGCTCTTCTGTCCCGGGGTGTCCTGCCCCAGCACAACGGCACCCCGCCAGCAGTGAGGGTGCGGGGAACTGGGGCCCGTCTCCACGAGGTTTGGCAGAAAGGAGGCCGGGTCAGCTGCTGCCTGAAACCCAAGAAGATGAAGAGCGTGGGGAGGCCTCGGAATTCTCCTTCTAGGAGTCTAACAGGGAATTAAAAAAAGAGCAAGGGAAAGTGGCTTCAGCAAGTCATGAACCCAGAGGAGAGTGGTTTATTTTTTTATAATAGAGGAGCCCTTATATGTGTTCGTAGATAAAGGAAAGAAAATCAGTAGAGATGGGGGCTAGAGATGAGGGAAAAAGATGTTCGAGGGAATAGATCTTGGAGAAGGCAGGGGGCAGGTGCAAAGCTAACCAATGTATCTGTTAATGTAAGGCATTATTTTGGTTGTCCCAGAAATGTAACACCACTAGAGAAAGTTTGGGAAATAGAAACATAATCTTGCCATAGTAATGCAATAGCTATTGTTATTTTTTGTACATGTCCTCCCACAGTAATATTAACACAGAATTTTCACATATTCTAATCACAGACATTTTTCACTTAACGTTACAGCACAAGCATTTTCTAGGTTGCTTCCTAGTCTTCATAATTACTTAAATGCAGTTCTGTCAAGTAGCACAGTAATTGACATGTAAGTTGTTGAAAAAATGGAGGAGACTACAACGAAAATGTTTCTGGATACACATCATTCAGATTATCTCCTTGGGCTGGATGCCCAGAAGTCAGATTAGTAGGTCATGGCTCCTGTTACCTTTTAACATGTACTTGCCCCCAAATTGCTGGTTCTCTACCTAAACCATCAGCAAAGTGGCTCTCTTTTCCCAAACTCTTTGCTTTCCTAAATTGGGATGTCTACAGCTTAGTGTGGTAAAGGTCACTGTCGCTTTCCAGAATTTCCCAGGCCCATAGTGTCCCGCATGGCCTTTGGCTGTTCAGCCCCCCGTCTGAGGGGTCAGGAGGCCGCCCTGGCGCAGGAGCAGGCTTCTCAGGTTGCCCCGCGGTCCAGATGCTGCTCACAACCTTGCAGACTGCATCCTCTTAACGCTCCCTGAGCACGGGCACCAGGCGGGGGCTGCCGGGTGGGGGCAGGCTGCCCACCCCCCGGGCTGGGCTGGGCTGGGCTGGGCTGGGCTTTGCTCATCTGCCCTGCGCACACCTCGGGGTGTTGGCTCCGCTTCAGAGGCAGCCCCGTGGGTGAAGAAAACGCAGATAAAGGCAAAGCAATGATAAGGTGAGCATAAATTTTAAAAAGTAAGCTTTCCGGCATTATCAAATATCACTCGTTTTCAAATCTGTGTGTGGAGTGGATATTCCAGTTTTCAGGGTGTGTGTTTGAAAGACCATCTTTGGAATTGTGCAATCCTTTGCACCCTAGCACGCTGGGCTTGGCACCAGGCAGCTGTCAGGGCTGGCTTGCGACTTGGAAGGGGCAAGGGTGGAGGTGCAGGCAAGTAGGGGCTGGTTTGCTCAGGGGGCGGCACTCTGACCCCCTCCGCACGCTGATGCTCTGCCCCCGGAGCCCTCGTTCTGGCCGGTAGTCTCACGTTGTAAGACAGAGTCTCGGAAAGAAAGAGAAAGGGGCTTTATTGGTCAAATCTCACTACTGCTTCCAGCGCAGCACCCTGTCCTGGGCTGCAGAGAGCCCACCGTGTGTGAGTGGTAGACACCGGACCTCGTGCCAGCTCAGGTGGCAAGTAAGGGACTGCAGAGCTGAGGCAGCGCGTGGCCTCTTGCTGACATGTAGCTGTCCTGTTTGTTCCAGACGTGAGCGAGGCCAAGTCCTGCCGGGACAACTGCACCTGCTCCTCCTGCTCGCCGCGGGCCCCCACCATCAGTGACTTGCTCAATGACCAGGACTTACTCGACGTGATCAGGATAAAGCTGGACCCGTGCCACCCCACAGTCAAGAACTGGAGGAATTTTGCGAGCAAATGGGGCATGCCCTACGACGAGCTGTGCTTCCTGGAGCAGAGGCCCCAGAGCCCCACCTTGGAGTTCCTGCTGCGGAACAGCCAGAGGACAGTGGGCCAGCTGATGGAGCTCTGCCGGCTCTACCGCCGCGCTGACGTGGAGAGTGTCCTGCGCCGGTGGCTGGACGAGGAGTGGCCCAAGAGGGGACGTGGGGACCACCCCAGACACTGCTAGGCTTCTGCACCTTCTTGCTGGCCTCTGTGGATGTTGAAACAACCCAGGTCAGGGAGCAACGGGAATCTCTTCTTTTTAAAGAATTTGGGGTAAGGACATAGAGCGGTGGACGTTGTTTCCCTGTAAGTTGGTGGTTTCGGGGGAAGGGTAGACTATGTTCTGGTGGCGGATTTTTGTTTGTTTAGTTTTGCACATGTTTTAATTTAATATTTGAACCTGGAGTTGGGGGAAATATTTTGTAGGCTCACATAGGGACCAGGCCGAGGCCTACAATCAGGATGGACTCATGCCATGATGAAAATGAAATTATCCTCGCCCCAAATACTGCGGAAGATGGAAGTAGGAACAGACAGTGATGGCCCCAGTCACTGCCCACAGGCTCCTTCACCGTCAGTGGCCGCCCCTCAGAGGCAACAACACAGAGAAGCTGCCTCTGGGTCTACGTGTGACTGTTTGGTTACAACGTACTTAGGTGGGTGACAGGATGTTAGTGTTACGTGGTGATACCTTTCAGACATCAGTGCCACTATCAGAAATGTCATTTGCGCAAGTGTTTTTGAAAGAAATACAAAAAAAAAAAAAATCAGTGGTGGTTGGGAAGGGAAGAGTCAGAAATCAGTAGGTGCGAGGACCGAGGGCCCGGGGCTGATGAAGAGAAGATACAGAATGCCCTTTGGTCACACACGACTTTTTAAAAATTAACTTAAAATGGACTTTGACATCTTTCACCTAAAGCTGGCTGTCTCACCCTTGAGATGAAGCTCTGTTAAGGAAGAAATACAAATCACCTGCCCCGCAGGTGCACCGCACCCCTCCAGCACTTACTATCTCAGCTTAAAGCAGCTTAGCCAGCAGGGGGTGGGGATCTTCAACCGTGATGCTGGCAGGGAAGGTATGCGTTCAACTCCAAATTTTAAACCAAATGAAAAGTTGGGTCCAAAGAGTATCTAATGGTCTTATTTGATAATTAAGGGGGAGGGAAATCATGGGAGATAGATGTGTTTGTTATTGGAGAGACTAGATTTTCTAGGATTTGCTGGGGGAGGGAGGCGAAGCCTGATTTGCTTGATAATTCCATGGAAGTGCTGCTTGGATTTGGCTGTGGGGTTAGAAAATTAAGGCACTTTGTTCAGTCGGGGAGATTCTGTATGTCTAATTAAAATAAGCAAAACTGATGACTTAATATTGATTGGAGCGCAAGAAAGATTAGTGTTGGCTCAAAAGAAAGTGATTTTCTAAACCACCACCGTTTTTTTGACTAACGGCCACAGTGGTTTTGCTAGGCTGCTGCAGTAAAATGTCAGCCTCGCCATCAGATGCGAACTCTGAACTAGCAAATCCCCTGCAGACTCACTCAGTCGTCGCCTCTGCTTCAGCTTTTCTGCCTTTGTCAGAATTATTAGACAAATGCCAGGTTTATTGCAAGATGCATTTAGAGTGACAGCCAGTAGTAAAATGTAGAGATTTAAAAAAATAGATATTTTTGCAAATTGATGTCCAGTGAGGCGGTGGTTAAATATTCATTGTCAGCCATGTCCGGGGCACCGTAGGGACTTGCACTTCTAAGTGGCTCCAGTCTTCTGGGAATTAGATTTTACATGCCATGTTCTCATGAAGCGACATGTGACACATTCTTATATGTTAGCCCAAAATTTACTGTGGGTAAACATAGATGAGCTTTTGGTGTTCATGATTGACATTTTAGGGAATTGGAGCTAAAAGTGTTGTGATTATTTAGTGTCACGTGGTACTGGACCCCGGCAGTCAGACGGCCATCACCCCGTGTGTCCTGACGCCCCTTGGGATACAAAGAATGGCCAGCCTGACGAGTGTCCTGCTAACCGCTGCCTGGCCAGGTGCCATCAGAAAGTCCCTTCTGTCCCCAGGCCACTGGGGAACTCCCTCCACTCCTGCCTTGCACAGTTTCCTCTGTCACCATCACCTCAGGGAACTTGTCACCTCCACTCCACAGCAGCCTGCAGGGCCCATGACCAGCAGAGGCTGCGGGAGACCTGAGGGACTGGCAGAAGGAGAATGGGAGGGAAAGCCCCTCTCTGCTCTCTTCCTCCTCCCACTTGGGGCCCTGACCTCCCCCAAACAGAATAAGAGGTCACCCAACCCAGCCATCACACCCACAGAGTAGTTGGAAAGGGCTCCCCGTGTCCAGAGGCTCCCTCCACGCCCACTGACAAAGGGCAGCCTGAGGGAGGAAGCGGGGAAAAAACACTCGCCACCACCCTGCCCTCCCCCCTCCCCCGGCCACTCCAGCTCCCCTGGGCTCCTCCCAAGTTCCGGATCAGGGGAGGCCCCGTGTTCCGTGTTCCTCTCGGTGGTGGGGCAGCAGCTGGGGGAGGTGGCCTTCTAGCCCTGTCAATAGGACCACAACGGAAAAAAAAAATTTTTGTTTTAAAAATTTCTACTCTCCCAGATATTAAATCTGGAAAATGGACAGTGATCTTCCCCTGGAAGCTCTGCTACACACAGCGAGGAGGTTCTGCACAGCCGTCCGTACTCTGAGCCACAGATTTGTGAATCGAGAGCGCTCTGTGGGCTGGGGGCTGGCTTGGGAACACGGGTCCCTGCTGGCCCTGCTCCTGCGGGATGCATTTCCAGAATTCCAAATGCAAAATTTCAACCTCAAAACTGACTTTTAAGTGAATGTATCATCATATGTATCATGCATGTTGCTATTCCTCCTAAATGTCAGCCAAACTTACCTTTGAGTCAGGTGAAAAATGCTGACACAGAATTCAGGTGGGTCCGTGTGGGCCTGGTGGGCTCCATTGTCTTTAAATTCAGGAAATACCGGACAACCAAGTTACCACAGAGCACTAGTCGCTCGTCTCTTCATTTGGCCTCATTACTTCCGAAGTCCTGAGGGCTAATCATTTCTATCCCTGGCTATGAAAGCTCGAAATTCCTATTACAATTGCGTGGGGGAAGTGCCAATGTAAAAGGGACTTTTAAAAATTGGAGAGTTGACATAAATGTGTTGTTTCAATTTGACTCTATCATCACCCGCACATATTGACATCTGTATGGGTTGGCATTTACTTTATGAAAAGTTTTAATTATTAAAGCATGATGTTAGTAGAAATTTAACCAAAAGATTTTTTTTTAAAATAAAGTTCATACAGATTCTAGACTTTGACTAAATGCAGGATGGCAGAGAATACTTAACCGAAATAGAACTATAACTCAATTGTGTAATTACCCAAATAATTTTTAAAATTTAATTTATAGCGAACACTGTAATGGGGTAAATATGCAAAGGCAAGAATGAGGAGGAAGAAACGTATAATTGATCAAGCTGTTAAGATTTAAGCTCATTACTATGGAAGAGCTTTGTGGATATGCTGTCTGCAGGGATCCACGTTCAATGGGTCACGCTATGAACTAAATTGCTGGTACTGAGGTCCTTTTGCTATTAGAAGGATGAAATCTCCCCAGCTAAATTCTGAGACATGCTCTTTTGAACGGCGCTCCCACTCGCAGTGCTACCAGAGGGAGCTCTCTGGACTACGCATTTTACTCCGCTGCAGTGGATCACCACTCACAGGGGGTGAAAGCCAAGCCGCACTGACTCCACGCACCCAGGACATGGACGCACGGGAAGACTCTTTACGAGAGGGGTCTCACCTAAGGCACGTTATTTCAAGTTGTGAGATTTCAGGCGGTTAGGGCTTAAATTGTTTGCCAGGATTGGCATCGATATTCAAGATAATTATTCAATGCTATAGAAAACTCGCCTTAGTAAACAAAGGGCCGTGCTGGCTCCTTCACTGCAGTTGTGTTGTGGTGCTGCCCTCTGCTGGAGGATAAGGTCCACACACCCTTTGTGGCTGGGCAGCTGCCCGAAGACCAGCCTAACACCAGCCTCTATTAATTACTTATTGTAAGAGTTTAGAAAGCACAGCACTGAAATAGCCCTTCCAGGAAGCCCCACCGCCCCGATCCCCGCGGTCACAGCACCTGTGGACTGGGAGCACCCGCCTCCCTTTCCCTCCGAGGCACACACGAGAACGTGCTCTTCTGACTGCAATGTTAATTTAATAAGTAAGGCCCAGTGGACTTTCTTTTCCTTCCTTTTTACATGAAGAATTGTTTCATTTAGTTTTCAGTCAAAGCTATTCTCCTTAAAATATTTTTCACTTCTGCCCTCCCTGTTGTGTGATTTTGCTCTCCCTTGTCCCTGTTTCTGCTCTTTCTGTTGCTTGTTCTTGCTTGTTCTAGAGCCGTTCATTCATTTCTCAAGTCAAATCCCCTCTATGTGTCTATGGCCTTCTCTCCCCTAGCTATAGGCCGACATCTGCTTCTTTTTCACACTTAAACGTGCAGAGGCAACCTGTGGGATTGTCTTCCCTATTTAATGGCACTCGGGGCCTAATAATGTTACAACTGTTTTCTGCCATGGTAACAGAAACTACATAATGGCATGTGCCCAAAGAATTGAGGAGACCATTCTGTTTGCTCTGTGGGAGTTCAGGCTCCACCTCTGAACCCTGCGCAAGTGGCTGTAATTGCAGGAGGACAAGTGTCTGTCACTACCCTGGTGTTGGGAGAGCACCGTGGCCGCCACAGTAAACCATGTGTTGGATCTGCTGCAGCTCCACGCAGTGGGTGTGCACCCAGTGAAACCCACACCCGGAGGAAGACTCACAGCACAGGTCCTGCTCAGCCGTGATGCCTCCTGGAAATCAACCCCGCAGTTGTGTTGAGGTGCCGCTTGAAATGCCTGAGTTTACTGCCCATTGGAAATGTAGAAGAGGGTAGCTTCCCATGACTTCCTAAGCCGTTCTCTTCTGTTGTAGTGACAGCGATGGAGACAAGCCCTCATGAGCCTTGAGGATGACATTTCTCCAGCCATTGAAGGCAGTGCCTTCAAACTACTGAATTTTTGTGATACTCTGTGTTTATATAGCATAATGTTGTACTTTTGAAGCTGCCTTCATTTTGATCTTCTGTATGATTTTATATTTTTCTTAGAAATAAAGATTATTTTTAGCTATTATAATGGGTGCTATAAAATTAAAGATTGA